TTTTAGCAAAGTTATCTCTTTGTGCAATTATGACTCTAAGTCAGTTTTAGAAGACTTAGATGTCTCACACACATTTCCAGGTATGACCTGCTCCTGAAGTATTGCCCAGCACAGGCTGCCACAAACATGCTTTTTGCCTCTATAGCTGTGCCTCAGATACATGGTGCCAAACAGTGTGTGATCTCCAGTTCTGACTTCCTTAACTGTATGTGTTTTCAGGGATTTTTTCATGTTATAACTTGCATCCACAATCCCTTCCTTTTGATTGTTCACTAATATTCCATTATAAGTACACACATTCTATCTTTCCTTTCACTAGTTGATGGACATTTAGACTCTTAAATTTTGAACCATTTTTGGACCATTTTGAATAATTCTGCTATGAGTATCTCTGTACAGATGTTTTGTGGCTCTCCATTTTTATTTTCTGAGTAGGTTTTTTTTTGAAGTTCTTTTATTGGTACATTTTAGGTATACAATTAGTTTACATCTATCATTGGGTGCTTGTACCTGTACTTGATGTATCTTGGTTCTTATTTTTTCCCCATTACCTGTGTGCCCTTCACCCCCTCCACCCTTCCCTATTTACATAGACATCATTTCCATTTTTTTTCTTTTCTCATAGTTTTCCCTTCCCCTCCCTTCACCCCTTCATCTTTAGACCTTTTTTCCTATTTAAAATTATCAGTTATTCATTTTCTGAGTAAGTTTTTAAGAGTGGAGCTTTGTGACTTGCTCTCCCATTTGACCCCCATTTAATCAATATTACCTGGGTGACTGTACCTGTAATCTTATTGGTTGGTCATGGTTTTGTCCCACTTCATGCCCACCTTGTAAGTTTCCATTGGGTCTTATAGTTTTGTCCCACTTTGTACCCACCTCACCACATGGCTTTGCTGTAAAAAACATCTTTGAACCATGGGGTGGGTGGGCAACCCACTTTCTAGTCCCCCTTCTGTCTCTCTTAGGCAGAAGCTTTCTCCCAATAATTTTTTTTTCTACTTTGAAAAAAAAAAGAGTGGAAATGCTCTGTACATTTATTTAACATTTTGTGGAACTATCAAAACATTATATAAAGTCAGAGACTTATTTTACATTCCCACCAGCAAGACATGAGGATTCCTGCTTCCGATCTAAAATTTGTTATTATTGACATTTTTAATTATTTTATCTCTGATAATAAAAAGTGGGGAAAACCTTCAGGGTTAATGAGTCTGAATAAATTTCATGTAGTTTATATTAATTTCTATAGCTTTTTTAGTAAATGATTTATTTGAATCTTCTTAGTTGTTAAACTTTTTGCCTTAATTGAAGTATGAGTTCTTTGTGTGTTTTGGATGTAAATCTTTCAGACATGTCTCCTGCAAATGTTTTCTCCTGGCCCCTATTTTGTCATTTCTCTTTTCTTATTGATGTTTTTCAAAGCTCAATAGTTTTGCATATTGATGATGCATAAATTATTACTTTTTAAATTTTATGAATAATGCTTTTGGTCTAATACCTAAGAAATATTTAACTTAGTTGAGAACTCCAATGTTTTTCTTTATTTACTTTGAGATGTGTCACTATTTTAACTCTTACACTTGGTGACTACTTTTATTAGTTTCTTTTTCTCCTTCCAATGAATGTGTACACTTGCACACACATAGGATATGTGAACTTGTTTAAATAGATTTTTCACTAATCTCTAATTGAAACTTTGTATTCCCTACCTTTATAAACCGAGGCAGCCTTGGCGGTATCATCGTTTCCTATGAACCTGATGTAGTAGACATTGGAGATATTTTTATATAATGTAGCAACAGCATGTTCTCATTATTACTTACATACACTAACATTTTTAAGAGTAAAGCTTATTCATTTAGGAGTAAAACTTGTATTAACAACGGTGCATATCAAATATTTCATTAAAAATCTTGAAAATTACACTTTAAGAAATTTATTCCTGAACCAGGGATTTAGCTCAGTGGTTCACCGCCTGCTGTGCAAGTGCAAGGACCCGAGTTAGATCCCCGGTACCAAAAAAAAAAAAATTTATTCCTTTGTAATCCTATGCATTTCACATTATGAATGAACTTAAAACATATTTTTGAATGGAGGCCATGACTTTGTCTAATTATAAAAAGGACCTATGACAAACATGAAAGCTTAAAGGATTCTTTATATGGAGGCCTTTTTAAGTTGTCTTCTGGTATTTTCTGTATAGAAATATCTCATTTTTCCTGAACAATGAATGCTGCTCTGTATAGAAAGATGTGAAGGATTTGGGTGAAGAATTAGATTTTTTTGTTGTTGCTTAGGAGTGCCAAGTTTTGTTAGTATCATGAATCACAATTTCTTTAATTCAAGTATTATTCTGGGGGATGAGTGAGTTGGTATACGTTCTGATTTTATGATGTTCTTTTGTTTCTGCAGAATATTTTGTCTACTTCTTCCTTCCTTCATGTCCTTACCTTAACAGTTCTGAGGTACACAGGGTTTTTTTTCCCCATGTGCTGCTCCATGAAGAGCCATGTTCCCAGCCTCTGACCCTGCCATTCCTAAGCCTTCTTCTCCCTCTGCTCCCTATAGGTAGGGCTTTATTCCACCAGGTACTTGGGTGATTTGTTTGCATCCTACCATCCCTAGGTTCCATCTCCCTTTTAGATGATGTGGATTTCTGCCAATTCTCTGTGATGATTGGGTTTTACTAGATTTGTGTACATTTTGCTTTATTATATTTTTTGTCTTCTAGTGAATTTGTATGCATAGGGTATGAGTTATTTTATTTGCATTCATTTTTTATCTGAATGTAATCTCTCCCTTCCATCCCTCCTTCTATACCTCCCTCCCTATACCTCCCTCCCTCCTTTTATTTCTCCCTCCCTCTCTCCTTTCCTTTCTCCCTTTCTTTCTTCTTTCCTTTCAAATATATGAAGATATTTGGATTTAGATGGCTGCCATTGTCTTTGGAACAGGAGAACAATGAACTTAGGAATGTGTTCTTAATTACATATCTGCCCCCGCAACACAGTGCCTGAGGAACACACACACAGACACACATGGTCATGCGTGCACGCACACACACACACAGAGCTTGTATCTTTCACCTAAAGAATGATTAATACCAAAGTCAATATAGCTCAAAATGTTTAGTGACAAGTTAAGTGCCTTCTATTCAATTGGCAGCAGTTTGAATTTAATATAATAAATATAGTATCATCTATATGAATTTGGGTTCAAAATATTTTCTGCCACATTAATGCTTTTGTTACAGAAGTCTTAGGAGAGAGGATTATGAAATATTAATATTCTGCATATGCATAGCTAAGAAAATTTATTTTATGTATATTTATAATGACATATTTTATCCAGTATTTTGACATTCTGTCTTTCAAGATTCCTTAGAGATTGAATACCAACATCACTTCAGGCAAATGTCATGAAAATGTCATTTATCTAAAGAAAGTATGGAAATAAGTACACCAAAATTATGGTATTTGGAGGAAATGTTATAAAGATATTAAGATAACATTATTTTTGTCAGAAGAGATTTTAGGTCTTTAAGATCTTTGAAATAAACCCAAAATGAATGTGAAGCCATTGAATAAAAATTAAAAATAGGATAAGTATTCTATATAATTCTCATCATTTAAACTTTTATGAAAACAAGTATAAAAACTGGTTATGACTTTAATTGGCCACTGATATGCCAATAGAAAAGATAGACAGCAATTTTAGTTGTGCTGAATAGTCTAAATTTTAGGAAAAACATCTTGCATTCTGATTCTAATCAAACTGAAACCTCCCTGGAGATGTCCAATATTTCCCATTTGGTCACCGGCAATATTTCTGAGACAATGAATTGAGTTTACATCAAGGAATGGCTTCTTGATATTATGGACCTCTTTTTTCACCCAAGTGAAGTAAGGAAATTTTAAGAATTTTATTGTCATTATATTGTATACCTAAAATGTACCAATGATTAGAATGAATAATCAATAATGTAAAATTGGAAGAAAAGGTCCAAAGGGGTAGGGGTAGTGGGAGGGGCAGGGGAAAGGAAAGAAGGGAAAGGAAAAAATGATGAGAAATGGAAAAAATGGAAATAAAGTCTTTGTAAATAGGGAAGGGTGGAGGGCGTGAAGGGAGGGCTAGGAATGGGAAAAAATAAGAACCAAGATGCATTATGTAAAGGTACAATTCCCAATGAGAAATGTAATTGTGTTGTATGCCTACAATGTACCAACAAAAGAATTTAATACAAAAAAAAAGAATTTTATGACACCACATTTGATATGCATGTCTGATAGCTGAGATTTCTAGTCAATTACAAGTCCCCTGCACCCCACAGGACTTTTAGACCTTAAAAGTCACCGACAGAAGAACTTCCATGACCTCTCATATGAAATATGATGTCCTGTGTAGTATTTATGCCCACACACTGTATTTAATATGCTCCTGCCACCAAAGTAGATTTTCTTTTCTTCTCTAGAGACTAGAGTGCTGTTACCTTGCTTTCTTTGGCACACTTATAGGTGATAAAGTGAGGAACAGACACGAATTTCTATACTATATTTCCCAGAAGCACTTAATTTCCCTTGATATACAGGAACAAGACTGCTTGTATTCTGAGTTTCTCTTTTAGATTCATCTCTCAGAGCACTTTTATTTTCAAATAATGGGCCTGGTTCTAAACTTTGGAAATCCTATATAACTATTGTATGTTTTCCAGTTTTCTTAGGTGATTTATACTTTTGTAAGGAACAAAATAGAGATAAAAATGTGCATTTTAGAAGATTTCCTAAAAATAATTAAATGTATTAATATGTATGTAAAAAGCATAGCAGCTCACAGGGTAATAAGAAGTACTAGATGAAACCATCCAATTATTTATTCACCAATCAGCAAAGATTAGTAAAGACATTAATAATACAGTAGCTCATTAGGCCCTGGGATACAGTCATTAGGTGTGATTGTGCAATGATAACCAACAATCTCAAAATAAAAATACACTGTACCAGCAAAGATTGAATTTCCTCTTGTACGTGTGTTCCAGCACATGTCAGAGAAGGCTCAGGTCCCGATCCACATTGTGTCTCTCTGGACACTAGACTGTCACCGCTTCATACACTACAGTTCTGTAAAGAGTAAAGAGAAACGGGTGCTGTGTTCAGGTCCACAACGTTTCTCTGTGGAAGTCAGCTGTGTCATTTGTGTCCACTTTTCCTTGGGCAAAGCCACGGGCACAAGGTGTCTGTGTACAGTGCTGGAGGGAAGAGCAGTCTCACTATACACCCTACAGGATGAGGGCAAGGACGTCTGAACACAGCATGAACACTCACCAGGACCATTCCAGAAATCAGCACAACTACCTGGCTTTATTAAACTGTTAGTCTACTGGAGAAATGAAATGAAAAATGCAAAACATAAAAATTGAATTCTATACATACTAGTAGTGAAATATAACATTCTTATAAAATAATGCAGTGGTATTGTGGAGTTGATACAACAAATCTTACACATGCATTTTTCTCAGTTCATTTATTGAGAAAGTGAAATGATGAAGAATATCACCATTATGCATTTTATTATTTCCTTTTTGATTCCTCTGTATATATCCAATTAAACTAGTTTAAACAAGACAAACTCTTTTAAAAAATAAACAAGTTGCATTCTATTTCTAACAGTAATCTTAGAAATGATATTTATTATTTAGTCATTACACTGATAAGTAAGAACATGAAATACCAAAAATATTTCTGCTACTTTGGCTTTGTGGTTTTAAAAAGATACATTGTGAATTCTGTAAGCCAGTCATTCAGAGAGGATGATCTATGGTTGCAGAAAAGCATGAATAACTCTTTATACAATACTGGTGTGAGTTGATGTACCACCCTCTTCAATTTCTTTTTATAACTAAATCCTTAAAAATTCTAATGTTCCTCTTATGTCAACTTAGTGCAAGCAACATGATTATTTTCAGATTAAACCATGCTTGGGATCACTCTAATAGCACTATACTGATTATTCAATCCCTTTAAGTTGCAAAGATGTTCAGTGATAGAATTTCTCTTATTGTGGTGTAGACCTTTCCTTCAATATACAAAAACAAGAGTTCTTATTGACAAAGAACATATTTTATTTAGACAATTGTTTAAAGTACTAACTTATTTCAGTCTCTGTGAAAGAGAAGAATGGTAAACAGCAAATAATAATGATAGTTTCCCTGAAGAACATAGAATCTAACTGGGGAAATGATACTTTTCTTGGGTAAAAGAAAACAATAAAAATTAAGCAAAAGTCAAACAATATGTCTGATAGTCTGCACTACAGATCATTGGTGTATCACCATAGTGTGAGCTACAGTATTAGGGAAAGCAATTTACAAGACAGAAAAGGTCTAGGAAATTTTCTGAAAGTTAAAAAGTTCATAGAATAAACAAAACTGACAAACCCTTAGTCAACCTTATCAGAAAAAGGAAAGAAAAGGCCCAAATCCATGCAATTAGGAATGAAAAGGATGAAATTACAACAGACTCAGCAGAAATCCAGAGGATCATCAATGCCTACTTCCAGAACCTATACACCAATAAGATGGAAAACACAGAAGAAATGGACAGATTCCTAGATACGTATGAATTACCAAAGTTGAACAAAGACGACCTAAAAATTCTAAACAACCAAATAGCAATCAATGAAATCGAAGACATAATTAAAAACTTACCAACTAAGAAATGCCCAGGTCCTGATGGCTTCAGTGCTGAATTCTACAAGACATTTAGAAAGGTACTACTGCCACTACTGTTTAAACCTTTCAGTGAAATTGAAAGGGAAGCAATAGACCCAAATTCATTCCTGGAAGCAAGCATCACCTTGATCCCCAAAGCAGAGAAAGACCCAACCAAAAAAAGAGAACTATAGGCCAATCTCACTAATGAACATAGATGCAAAACTCCTAAACAAGATACTGGTAAACAGAACACAGAGGGTCATCAAGAAGATCATACGCCCTGACCAAGTGAGATTCCTCCCAGGGATGCTGGAGTGGTTCAACATATGCAGATCAATCAATGTAATACACTATATCAATAGAGCCAAGGACAAAAACCATATGATTATCTCCATAGATGCAGAAAAAGCATTTG